TCTTTAGGCAGTCTCATCCACGACGTCTGAATCGATTGACAATCTTCTCGCAACGGCGGCCGATGCGTAACGTAGCGACGTGCAGTTCATCCGAGCGTTTTCTTTTCTGATTTTATTCCCCTATAACGACCGCGCACAGCTTCTTACCGGGCCATTTTCGCTTGTACATGGCGAAATACATTTTTTTCTGAAAACGTGCCGCGATTAAATCACGTCGGACACACCATCGATTCCCGATTAATTTCGCCCGAACGCCCCCTCGTCTCCCGCGGAGATTAGATTTCCCGTTCATGTCCCACGGTCGGGTTCCTTTTGTCGAGCGGTTAAAAGACTTTTCCGAACTTCGGCGCGTCACAGTGGCCCGTGGAAGCTCCGGTTTTTCGGTCTCGCCCCGATGCCTCGATGAATGCGAGCAACGCGGCCAAACACGGCGGCGGTGTGCGCGCACGCTATTTTCAGGCTTTCAAACTCGATTTGCCGCGGCAACCTGTGCGCGACGAGGTAGTCGAGATGTAGGCGTTTAGAATGCCAAACTTCCCCCGCGGCGGAATCGAATCCCCGATGAAAAGACGACCGTCCCGAGGAAGAAGCGGCCGGTGCGCGGCTCTCGCGAGCCGAACAGAACTTTTCTCCGAGCGCGACGTTCCCCGGCCTCGTGAATTAAAGACGCTCGCACAAATATGTTATACGCCTCCGGCGCGCGTCGCGACGCGCGCCTCATTCCGTCTGCATCATTGATTGTATCCAGCGAATTCGTGATTTCACGCCGCATCTCCCCCGTCGGGCTTTCTCGCCCGCGGATTTCTGCCTGTGAATAATCCGACGACGGTATCGGGCGCTTGCTCGCGTCTCCCTGATGAAGCGGGCTGAAATGTTCACGAGACATTGGAAATAAATTCACGAAAAACGCGCCATCAAGCCCGAAAGCAGAGCGAGCATTTTTCTCCATATCGCGCGACTGAAGGCAGGTATCAAGTCTGATGGAAGCGAACGTGACAAATAAGACGGAATAATGAAAATGCGCTCACGCGTGAACCAGAAGGATCGTTCTTCTGTTTGCGCGGAACCCTTCGGATCCTAATTCCTCGCGGTGAGGCGTATGTACTCTCGGTTTCTGACCAAAAAGTAGAGGAGAAACATCAAAACCGGCATACCATTTTGTTTCTGAGCTCTAAAGGCTTGTTGGAGGTGTGAACTTAAAATTTACGTGAATGAGTTCAAAGCAGCAACGTTTCTCTGCTCAAAATGTACGAAAGTCTTGTGAAAATTATGATGTGTTTCCTTGTAAATAACGATTTTTTAAGGCGTTTCAGGATTAACACTTCTAGAAATTACTCAAAACTGACATACCCATGATAGGAAATTATCAAAGGAATAAAATAAGAGAATTGAAATTACATTATTTTGTACATTTATTATACATCTTTATATGTTACCTTTAATCTTATGTATTTTTATTACATAGAAAGGGATTCCCTTCTTTTTCTTCCCGGCCATCTTAAACAAACAAGAAAAATAGAGGAGAACAGTTACAATTTACAAATTATTTTGTAAATTATTGAAACCAAGATTAACATGCAACGGTATATTGTAAAACAATAGGTTGTACCACTTGTGTGTGCAAATTCGGATCAAATTTCGATGCAACTTTACTGATAACTCTGTTCCGTTCATATGTAGACATATATACTCTTTCTCAGATTATACAATTTTAATTGTTTGATTAATAGTTCACCCGAACAGTTTGGCTGGATTTCCTGCGGAATAATTGTCGATAATGTCGATATTTGATTTAATCGCTCACCACGGGGCGTTATTAACCAATGTCTACCAATTTGAACGTTCCCTGTTGGGACAGAAGATTAATCTTTTAATTTGCTGAATTAAATATAGAATGTAACGGAGTTGATCTAACTTCGATATTTTGCCATATTGAGTACATAAATCAGTATATAGAGATAAGAATAATAAAGAGGATGACCTTTTTAAACTGAAACATTGACACATAAACGTGTAATACATATTGTTCGAATTTATATAGTGAAAATCTAATAGCCATGAAATACTACCTTCATAGAAAGAAGGCAGCGAAAAACTAAATATACATGGTGTTTCCAGTATTCTCGACCTAAATTTCAGCGAGACGTTTTCTGAAAGATTTAGGAACAACTTTTCCTAGAAAAACTGTCGGAAAATGTCATTATTTACGATGACTTTCTAATTATCAACATATATCTTTGTAACTAAGCGCAAAATCAAAATTCTGTTGAAATAAAGTCGCTTTGAAGTTAATCGGGGAAAACAATTTCCCTATTTGTTGGTAGCCCAGAGTTGCGTTTGTGAGAAACTTAGTTTTCTCTGTCGCCTGTGTTTCAGAAATGATTGATGCCTCGATATTCTCGTCGAGGAAAAATGAATTCTAAATCGTTCACAGAACCTCTCGGCAAAATTAAGCTCGTAAGTTCCGAGTCGCTCCTTATATTTCATCGTGACCACAATATGACGTCATGATTTCTCTCTCACCGTGTCTGTCACTTATTCTTTCTCCCTCTTCCAAAGGGAGCTCGATTCGCAAATTTCCCAGTGCGGACAAAGCCACGGCCACTGAAATAGCCGGTCTGCAGTAATTTCGAAAGCGACACGCTTCCACATAAAGTTTCGAGAGACGTGCGACGCGGGCGGTCGCGTTTTCGAGAGCGCATCACGAATGCGCGCCGCCCTGCGCGTCTTCTTTCTTTTTCCCCCTAACGGCGTAAAAAGCGTGTACGTTCGCTACGTATCCGTGGATTATTCAAATGAGGTCAGGACGAGCAGCAGCCCGCCACATTCGAGCTCGCCGCGAGCGAGTGCAACCAGCACAGCCTCCTTGAATCGTAATCTACCGTCTAGGGCAAACATCCTAAATCACCCACGCCGCGTCCGGAAATAGGTCGTATCCGTGAAAATTTTAACGAAACGCGCTCGCGTCGGAGAAAAAATTTCCCCGCGTCTTCCGTTCTTTCGGCTGCGTCACGAATTTTGCGATGTCCTGGCTTTTTATCCGGGTGACGCGCGCGTGCCACGTGAGCGATGGCGCGATGCGGCTTTTAATATCGTTAGTATCCGCCATTTACCGCAATCGCGTGAGAATTGTATTGCTGTAATTTTCTCGAGAAAAGCAGAAGACGAGAGACGAAAATGATGCGAATAATATATTTACTTACAGAGGAAAAGCTCCAAAACCATCATACCGTTTGTCTTTAGCTTCTAAAACCCTGTTGTTATTTTTATATATTACATATTTATATGCATGAGTGCAAGCCAGCAATATTTCTCTACTAAAATATATAAGAGGGAGAGAGAGAAAGAGAGAGGAGGAGAAGAGGAATCTTATAAAAATTATTACATATTTTCTTGCAAATAACTATTTTTTTAAATGTTTGAGGATTGACGCTATTAAAAACTAGCTCTCAAAACTGACGTACTCAGGATAGTTTCAAGAAATTACCAAAAAAATAACACGAAAGCACTGAAATTACATTATTCTGTACATTTATTATATATTCTTACATATCTTTAATCTTATATATTTTTTAAAACTTTAAAAAATTTACGAAGCATATATTGCCCTTTTATTATGTGGAAAAGGATTTCCCTGACTTCTTGTTTCCAACTATCTTAAAGATTCAAATAAGAAAAACAGGAGAGAATCAGTCGCCGGTAGTTTCAACTGTGTTCAGTGCAGTAATATTTCCCAGCGAAGTTCAAGTACGTCGGTTGAAAAATCAGTAAATTCAGATGTCAGTTTATCTAATCCTAACTTGCGTGGTTTAGTGACAGAGATTGACACAAGATTCAAAGTGATTTAAAAAGTTCAAAAGTCACGCTATAAAACAGCATTATCAAATAAATTACCGTTGATTTTTTATTTTAATTTCCATATGAATAGTTAATTTCCATATGAATAGTTTAACGAAAATTTCAGCACAACGAAAAATCAAACGACGCTGATAATACGACCGAACGTGATTGCAAACAGAAATTGCCCTTTTAGCTCCGACCGCCGTACACACTAGACAAAATTCATATTATGCCCGACAGAGTTTAATATTTGACGGAAAAGGCAAGAAACGTGAATATATCGTTTTACCATATCTACGTAAGCTTCATTTTTCCCTTTAACATTAACATACATATTTTTACGCAAAGAAAACAAATCTTTCAAATGAGAAGATTCCTCTTTTTTTATATCCGTAGCTTGTCAAGAAAACGATTGTTTAATCTATTTAAATAAATAATATAATCAAGACTTAATTAAATGTGTTATTAGTACTCACCAAATAAATATTTTTTTAACTTTTAGATATCATTGCTCTCAGTGCAGTCGAGTGTAGCAGTCGGCAGATTCGGAAACGAATTTTCAACTACCATCAACATATCAATTAGCACGTTCACTGTCCATTAAGTTATTTTCGCGTGCCATAAATTTTATCGCAAGACACGTGTATCCCGTACGCACGTGTGCGCGCACAACTGTTGAAGTAATTTCGTAAAATATCGTTACAATGATGGGCAAACTGCCTTGTAACTCGGACGACGCATTCCCCGCGCGATTTACGTCGAATGGAATGAATAGAACGCGCGGGAACAAAGGAGAGGGGTCGCCTTCTTGAAAAATTTAATAACAAGGTAATCAAGAAGGATTCCGGACGCGGAAAGTAGTTTCTAATTCACGATGGTCGGGGTGAAACAAGCCGGGTTCAGGCTCGTTCCGCGTTTGTTTCCTCCTGGCGCGGCTATCGTACCTGCCTTTATAACTTCTAGTTTTCTTCGTCACGGTGAAAAAGTTCGTCCGGGTTGTAGCCGGACCGACGATAGCCCTCCCCTCCCCTCCCGCCTCTCGCTATAATTGCGGCGTCGTTCGAATTCCGTTCGAACGCTCCTCTCTGAGACAATCAGACTTAATGAAATTAGCTTAATTATATCCGTCGGTCAACCGTCTTCCTCTTTCTCATTCGCAGATCGACGCGTGCCCTACAATATACCGTCGGACTGGCGGGCCCTTTGGTTCAGCAATATCGACGAGCTGCAGAGAGTGAACGACGCGAACGACAACAACACCGTCTCGAACGTCACGGTGCAATTGGGCGGCACCGCCTTTCTTCACTGCAAAGTTCGCAATTTGGCGGAGAGGACCGTTTCCGATGCCGAGGTAAGAAAGTGTCTACGTGTATAACCCTTGCATCGTCGGAAGAAGGGAAAAAAAGGAAGAGAAACTCCCTCGGAAGAAGCGAGCGATTTTCGACGAATGGGCCGAATCGAGCGCAATCGTGGCTTTTAAGCACAACGACGCCGATTTCTCCACCCAGCGAGATGATTATTGTGTCTCTCGCGGGCGGGGCACCTTTCGCGAATTCTTCTCGTGCGTTTATACGCGCGTCGTAAAAGGAGGTGCGACGGTAAAATTTATGTTTGCGTGTAGGTCCATTGTGACAGTCGCGAGGCGACTATAACTTACGATGATATATATTCCGTATCATGCGTGCGCCCTCGAGGCTCGGCGAAATTCATCTCGAGTGATGTATCAATGTGAATTTCTTTTTTATCCGCGGAATTAAATTATATCGACTACACTTCCCAGCTTCCCCGGAGACGTGGGGTTTCTAAGATTCGCCCTATTGCATCACGGTGTTTCCAGATAAACCAACGATCACGTTCGTCTCAGCAATTCGGTAGATATCTTGCTACTTACGATAAATTTCTCAATCCTTTGAGCGCCGCCTTTCTTTCTAATTCTAATTCTAATCTTTCCGCTAGAAGTGCCAGGGAAAATTTTTGTAGAAAGATTTTCGGAAAATCGGAAAAAAGGAATACAAGATGTGCATTATTGTTATGTGCGCGCAGCATTCGCAACATATTTCTTTTAATAATAAACATCAAAGATTAGAAAAAAGATTTTCTCTCATAGCCTTTGAAGAAGATATACAAAGAACTTCATAACTCTTTCGACTCCGTCGGGTCACGTAAGTCCCACAATAAGTTCCAAATTTTATATCATTTCACTGTTACTTTCTTCTCTTGCTTTCTTACTTGCTTCTTTTACTTTCTTCTAAACACAACGAGAGAAAAATAAACAATTATATTTATTTCAAGCTTTCACCTTGTCCCTTTCATGCATTCCAATAAATCAATCTGGAACACATCGTCCCCCGAGAAAACGTTCAATCTCGGAGAAAAATAAATATATCATACTTTTGCGTTTACTATGTTTATTTAAACCTGAGAAACCACGACAATGAGAAATTCTTCGTAAAAGAAAGCGATACCGAAAGGGTTGAGAAGTGCTATCGCGCTCGGTCGTCTTGGAACGCGACCGCGGCTCCGGACGCAATTGTTCGCCGAATATCGTCCGCGCGCGCGAATAACATACACATACATCGAGCCACGCTGATATCTATGCAACAGCGGTCGCGAACATAGCGCACAGATAATCTCGTCTGTGTAGCCATATAACTGTAGAAATTTATTCATATGCACGAGCGCGTAATGATCCCCTTTTCGTAGGACGGCGCCGTGCGACGGCGAGTCGAGCTGGTAAGACGACGATAGATGATCGCGACGCGCACGTGAGTGACGGCAATCGGTATGCGATTCCGCGGAAACGGCGACGAGCTCGTATCTGGCGCGGATAGACGCAATGATGCAGCGGGGAGGAAGAGACGGCGTCTCGGATCGCGATTTTTCCAGCACACCGATTTTTATCCCCTCATCGCTCCGCTATTTTCCACCGAACGTGAATATTTTAGCAACAAGATAGCGAAATATAAAGTCCGATATTTCTACGCCGGGTGTCCCGTCGTTTTCGGCGGCTGGACGGCGCGTTGTATCGTTCATCGCCGGGGGTATGCAAGATTGATGCCGGCAAAAAGCCGATGACCACAACAAATCCACTCCAATTCGGGATGACAGCCTTACAACTGTCGCGTCGGCGCGATCCCGCGCGGATACTCGACAACGTTCTCGGCGACGCGCCGATACGGCGAACTTAGTCGACGTGATGTCGGCTATCGCTGTCTTCGTCGTCATCGTAGAATTTATGGGATCGGATCACGATGACCGAAAGTTGGCCAGGTCGTTGTTCAATGTTGTTGGACAACAATGGCGCTTCCGAACTTTCCGTTTCGGGCCACCGGCGGCATGCCCGATGCCCGACAGACTCCGACGACGGATACGTGATCGATGCCTCGCGCCCGGAGAGATCGATAGTCATGGTGGGATTTCCCGAGTCGAAATTTTCACCCTTTGTTGAAACTTTCATTCTACAACGCGATATACGTGGGAAATTTATGTTGAATCATAGAGGAAAATCGACGTACTGTTAGAAATTCTCTCGTGCCTTGTTTAAAGTGTCTGATTAAAGTTTACGCGCATAGGATGTGCAAATCAGGCACACTTCCATCAAAATCTATGAAAATTGGAATATATTTCCTAGTTTTTTTCCTATTATTTTTAAGATGCTTGAGGATTGTCGTTTTTATAGAAACTAGGCTCCAAAACTGTCAGATATATTTGATCGTATATTTTTGACATATATTTTTTAATCTGATGATATATGTATGAATTTACCATACGTATAAAAAAAATATCAGGAAAGCAACAAAATGTCCTGTACTGAAATACACATTTTCATCGCTGCAGTTTGGGTTGTTGTTTGTTATTTCTAAATGGCAGTGTGGAAAAAAATGTTTATCTCGGGTAGCGACGATTGTGTGTAATATTAATATAATATTATTGTGCTTGCACGCTTATATGATAATAGTAGAAAGACAGAATATTCTAATAATATAATTGACTCTTATTTTGACCCTGATGGTCTGATCTTAAATTGTTGTTTTCGCTGTTTTAGCGATAAAATAGATTGTTGAAGGTAGTATTAAAATTAAATTTGTCGAATCAGGAATTTTTCCAGAGAGAAGTTAATGAGTGTCGGAATATCGTCCAAGTAAGTTTTTATTAGTCTATAAACACAAATTATTCTCAGAACATCGAGATAGCGTGAAAATTTCGATGCGGGGGTAACTTCGCTCGTCCGCCATGTTTTTATCATGCGTTTCGCGCTTCAGTATCTGCGGGAGCTTTATGTTCCCCCACCTCCCCCCCTTCTTCACAGCGGTAATGTTATACCAGCATACATGAGGTTTATTTGAATTCCCAATTTCCGAAGTGTTTACCGGAGCGACTAATTAATCCGTTCGCTATTATTTTATATAATTTCGCCATTATTTTGTTTAATTACGATTCCTAAATTGTAATACGAGCAAAGATATCGCGTTAACATTGCAAAATTTCGTGCGCTTTGCCGCGCGGAATAACGCGGCTCATTTGTGCCTGTAAAATATAACGTCGGGATTCGCGATTTTAATGAAATTTAGTTGATAAACCGCGAGTCAAAATAATTAAATCGCTAATGAATGTTATTTGATCGTTTATATGATACAAACAAACTGCGCCGACGTTGTCAATTAAGGCGATACAAGCTCGAAGCTCCGCGTGTTCGCGGAACCATTCGAATCGCAGCTTCGAAATGACGCGTACGCGACGATCGAAAAACACATTGCTCGGTGATGGAAAAATTCGCCACCGATGACGGTTTCAGACGCGGCGTCTTCGAGACGAACGCGTTATTGCGCGGGAAAAAGTCCAACGTGAACTTTCGCCGAGGGCAGCGTCGGTCGCCGCCGATATCGCGATTCAGCATTCGCTCGGAGGTTCTGCCAGCTCGGGTGATCCGCAAATCCACTTACGACGTCGTTGCTTTTAATTCAATTATTTATGACGAATTCGACGGGTCGGCCGGTATGTCTGCCCGGTCCGGCGGGCGGTCGGGCGAGCGCACGGCGTAACTGCATTATCGCGTTAGCAGTCAAACCGGGAAAGATTGATGGCGACGAAAAGTCGAACGCCGCGAAGTAATTTTGATAGAGCGTCGGTGAGCGGAGCGCCGCGTTCCGTGAAGCCGCAACGCCGCCATCAATGTCGTCCGAGAGATTTTTTCTTCGACCACCAGCACCACCATCGCCGCCATCGCCACCGGCACGGGCAATATGCTGCGAGAGGGACTACATCGACGAGACGGCTAAAATCGAGAAAATCGGCGCGATAAGCGCGAGAATTGATTTTAACATCCAGTCAATGATTTCTCATCGGAGGGTGAAGCCACCCCTTCTCTCTCTCTCGCTCGTTCGCTCTCACCCTCTTCCTCCCTTTCTCTCGAGCGCGGCGACGGTATCGACTCGCGCGGCATCGTCGGAGAGCGATATTAATGAATTGCCCCCTCGAAATTCCGATAATTAACGCGGCGCGCTTTATTAGATCGGGAAAGCTATTTCGTGCCGAGGTGGAGCCCGAATTACGGAAAGAGACTTAAACAAGCCCGCGAAACGCACGTGAAAAGAAAAAGAGAGTCTTTGAGATCGGTACGATTAACGTCTAATGATTTGTCTCTTTTTTTTCTTTCCTGTGGAAAGCTGTTTCTTTTTTAATTCTCGATCGATCGATTTACGCCCGAGCGAGATCGACGCGCCACTCAGTCGGGACTCGACCGAACTCGTTCCAAGATCGCGCCGCGTTGCCACGCGGAATTAAGCACGTGACGTGACGATTTCGTGAGTCTGTTTTGACGGATCGAACGGAGAAAAATTCATGCACGAAGTGGGACGTCGCGCGGGCACGCAAAGAGGTTGGTCAGAATACGAGGAAAAACGAGAAAACGTGAAGAAATGACAGAGCTCCTGTTTGGCCTAGTCGAAGAAAAAGAAAGAGTATTACAGGCTTTTACACGGAAAAATGAATTTGCCCGGACCTACCCGAGAAGGGATCAAACGCGTTTTGGTTGGAAGAAAGAAAATTTCGAATTCTCACGAAGCAAATTTAGTTTTCACAACCAGAAATTCTGTTTCCTTCGATCAATACGTGTTTGGTTGCCCATTGTCAGGTAGATCCAACCGGACTCATCGTTGTAGGAGTCAGAGCACAGATTTCACAGTGCCATTAAACATTAACATTGTCAATATTAATATGTGAGAGGACGCGATGCTTCGATGTATATTAATGCACGCATCGGATTATTCCCTTTTTCTCGCAACGCTTAGTATGGATCTAAATAAAGTCTGGGTTGGTTAATTGAGGATTTGTATTAATTAGGACACGCTC